GGTACCAAAGAAAAGGAAAAAAAAAAGGAAATGCTAAACCTCCTGGAAGAAAATAAAGGATGAAATCTTGAGGACATAGGGGTAGGCAAAGAGTTCATAAACAAAAATCAAATCACATGGGAAACTCTTGAAAGAACTAACAACTGGGACCTCCTCTAATTGAGAAGATTTTGCACATCAAAAATAAATAAATAAATAAATAAATAAATAAATAAACAAACAACAAAGTGAAAAGACAACCCAGAAATTAGGAAAAATTCTTGACTAATAAGAACTCAGACAAAGAACTGTTTTCTAGAATTTATAAAAAACTATAAAAACATTAGGGCCCCAAAATTTAAAGATCCAATCCAAAACTGGGCATCTGAGATGAATACACACTTTTCAGAGGATGAAAGTAAAGAAGAAAATAAATATATGAAAAAATTCTCCACATCACTAGGCACCCATTTAATGCAAATTAAAGCAACACTGAGATACCATCTCTCTGCAGAAAGAATGGCTATCAAAAAGAAATCATCCAACAACACGTGTTGAAGAAGATGTGGGGAAAAATGAACCCTTCTCCACTGCTGGTAGGAATGTAGATTGGTGCAACCATTATGGAAATCAGTGTGGAGTCTCCTTAAAAAAACTAGGAGTGGAAATCCCATTCAAATCTGCTGTCTCCCACCTGGGAATATTCCCTGAGTAATTGAAAACGTCATATCATAGTGATATATGTGTACCTGTGTTTATAGAAGCAGATTTTGTGATAGCAATATGTTGGAAATAAACAAGATGTGCTTCACCTGAGGAATGGGTGAGAAAGGTGTGATATTTTATACAATGAATTATTACTCAGCTATAAAGAATGATAATCTCAAAGCTTTATATATAAGTGGATGCCACTTGAAGATATACTCATAAGTAAAATAAATGATAATGACATGTGTAAGATCATATAGTCTACCTAGCATAAGAAATCAAATGAAGAAATAAAATTATAAAGACATAAAGCAATTTAAGGAAAGCAAGAACTTGAGGATTGGACAACAAAGAGATGACAAGGAGAAAAGCTAGGAAATATGACAAGGGCAAAAGTCATACATTTATATGCACAAGATCAGGGAGGCAATGGTCCTAAGAAACTTCAGCATGTTTTTGCAACTAGCAGTTAATTGGTAGGATTCTCACCCTGACTATACATGCTGATACCTGTGAACTATGCAACTGCACTGAAGAATGTAATGTGTAATTCTAGAGTCATGCTTGGAATATCTGTCATTCTGGTCTTCTAATTACATATGTCTTGACATAACAATTACTGCAATACTGTCTCTCAAGTAAATATTTGTTTAAAAACAGTGTCAATAAATGAAAACAAGAGACAAAAATGTCACAAGACTGTCCTGCTACAAGGCAGTATAAGGTTAGATTTTTAAATTTCTGTGTAAAAATATGTAAATGCTTATTCTTATTTTCCAAATATTTCTTATCTTTTTAGTATTTTCATATTCTGGAGGAACTCAAAGCTTGACATATCAATATTTGATGTAAAATGTCTGCTCCAAGTTATGTATAAGATGTTTAATATCCAATCAGATAATGAGGTTAAGCTCAACTGCCTATGTTGTAGGGTAATAATGTTTCTTTTATGGAGGGTTAACAACCTAAGTTTGCAGACCAAAGATTAGAGAAAAAGAAGGGCTGCAAGATGGCCAAAACTTTTACCCTAGCCTTTCAAAGTCAAGTGAAGCCTCAGGACATAGGAGAACCTGTACTGTAACGTCATGCAACTCAGTTGTGTCCCAAATTTTCTGATGAAGATTATGGGGCCACAGAAGAAAATGAATGATGATGTATAGTATGTCTAAGGAGAGTCACTTGGAGAGAAAACATTCTCTCAGCCTTTCACAGAGAGAAAATTTGTCAATCAATGTCCATGACTCATCCATATGGCTGACACTGATAAAGGACCTACAAACTGTGGTACCGAGTTTCATGTTAAATCCTAAAGGGATTTGATTTACCTCATCAGATACAAAAGTTACATTTCTTGTTATATATGTCTTGCGTTACCTTGGCCTAAACAATTCAGCAGAAAATTATGAAAATGAAGTATAAAAATAAAGCCATATCACTACGCTGAGCTGTAAAATGTTCAATTCAACAATTTCGGACTTTGCCAGTCTTATGGAATACCCACTACTATTATGGGCTACTGGACTATAATGGGATATTTTACTGAACCCATGCACCTACAGTATTTAAATGACAATGAAATGCCCTTCTCCAACAAAACTAACCAATAATTGGAATAGAATTGGGCTGGAGAGATGGCTCAGTGGTCTAAAGCACCTACTTGGAACAAGCTCGGCAAAGCACAGGGACCGCGGTTCGATCCCCCAGCACCACATGCCAGCCAGCCCGCCCCCTGGTGGGCTGAGCTGGCCACACACACCTCTCTCTCTCTCTCTCTCTCTCTCTCTCTCTCTCTCTCTCTCTCTCTCAAATAAAAAAAAATTTAAAAAAAAATAAAAAAATAAAAAAAAAAAAGGAATAGAATTGAACGACCATTTTGTATTGATATACTCAAAATAGTTAGGATAGATATACAGCTCCATTCTCTTAGTTCAATGAATAGAGAGGTTTGTTCTTATAGTGTTTGAGACAGGATATCATATCTGCATTTTGTACAATGAATGACCAGTAAGCCAAAAATATGCAATATTTTAATTATTGAAAATGTGCTATTAATTGGTTTAGAAACTGTCTTATTGCTATTTGTTTCTGAATAAAATTATTTAAAATAAATAAATAACAAATACAACTATATCATCTTCTTCCAAAACATTTCTTTATCTTGTCAAAATCCAGCCTAAATTTATGGAAACTCACTTTTACAAAACCATTAATCCCTCCAGCAGTAGAATTCTCCTTAAACGAGCACTTCTTATCCATGTAGCCTGCGTTCAGTGTGTTTGCAACACATCATCTATCAGTGATTTTATCCCATGAATTCTTCAGCTACGTTATGAACTCTTGCACACTAGGCTTCTCATTGTTTCCATTAGAGTGTACATTGAAGACATAAAACAAGAATGGCAGCAAAAAATGTTAATGCTGGGGCTGGGGAGATGGTTCAGTGGAATAAGCGCTTCCCTGGCAAGCGCAAGGACCTGAGTTCAATCCCCGGTTCCACCAAACAAACAAACAAACAAAAAAAGTTAATGCTTGTGTATGATGGTCTACACAAAAACAAGGTAGACATTATTTGTGATTTGTTTTTGTACTCTGATATGACATTTGCACAGAAGTCCCAAATTCATCTGTTTACATTGGTATTTGCCACTCATCCAAAAGAACATATTTCCAAATACTTAATTATAGTTGTTGTTAGTATGTATTGATAGTTGATATTGGTGCATATTTTTTCTAGCAGTATCATTTACTTATATATTAAATTATTGTATAATTCAACATGTCTGTCATATGTGGCAATGGGCATGCCAAATGAGCCATTTGGCCAATGATCTTAATTTGGTAATATTTTTGTATTAGAATTTATAGTACAGGATCCTGAAAAATTATGATAGTGTTTATTTTTCTGCTAGGTCTTATTTTCAGGGAGATATGATAGTAGTATCTAGGACTTCTTGCACTCATGGGTAATTCTGCCTCAATTTTTAATGCACATTAAATATATATTATTGCATTGCACTCTTACTTTCCACACTATAACACACTAATTTTCACTGATGACATTTTTCTTTCCAAAGTCTCTTAATTTTTTGCAACATATTTTTTTTCAAAATCTTCATAAATCAATATATGATACATTGTTACAGATGTAGTTAATGCACTCATGTAAAATAAATAAACATTTTCTGGATTTTGGTGCCTGTAATTTTTCGTCCCTTGATATAGACATGCATGAGACATGGTTGTCATCTCTTATCCTCCAACTGGATTCATGGAGGATACCGCCATGGACACTAAATTTTCAGCTGGTGTCCTACCAAACATTTCTGTGGGTTCTAGGGTTTTTGCTGGGTTGTCAAAGTTTCTAGTGTATACAGAGATTTACAACACTTTTGTGTTTGATTCTTTGGGTGGATATTATAAAATGATTTTATAGGGGCCAGGGAGATGGCTCAGTAGAATAAGTGCTTCCTTGGCAAGTTCAAGGGCCTGAGTTAAATCCTTTGTTCCGCCAAAAAAAATTATAAATTATATGCAATATATTAAAACTTTTCCCTTGTAAATCCTGACTACAACATATATATTCTATGCAGATTTTTTTTCATGAGGTAAGTTGTGGTAATACATAGTTTCAGGTAAACTTGATGAGAACATACATTTGCTGGAAATAGGCAAGTTTTATGTTACTGCTGTAGACAATGTTATTAAGGTCAATAAATTTCTATAAAGAATGAATGATTAAGATGTGACTGGAAAATATGAATATGGTTTTAGATGACAAAACTAGAAAATTTCAATTTAATGTGAGATGAGTCATTATACTTAAATTTTCAAGTGCACAAAAGATTCAGTGTTTCAATCATGAGGTAAGGACTCCCTTGTTTTTATTTTTTTAATAAAATATTGTAAACAATATGTTGCCTGCTTGGGAAATATGTTATACCCTTATATAATATAAATTTCTTATTTCACTTTTTTGAGACTGGATTTCACTATGGAGTTCAGGCTGGTCTCAAACTCATCATAATTCTCTTGCCTTTCTTCCTGAATACTAGGATTAGAGACAAATACCACCACATCCAGCTGAGTTTCTCAAAATAATAATTATTTCTTGTAGACTAGAAGTTTATGTTTTGTTTTGTTTTCTGTTTTTACCCAGAACCAGGGATTGAACTCAGGCCCTTTCACTTGTCAAGCAAGCACTTATTCTACTGAGCCACCTTCCTAGCCCCCAGAAGTTTACAACTATGTCACAAATAAAAATTGAAAACTAATTATAAGGATGTAAGACAGAGGAAGTGAAGATGTTTACATACTTTCTGATGCCAGGTCCTGCCATGACCTTCAACATGGGTAGCAAGTCTTCTGCATAGCGACACATTGGACCAGTGCATAGAAGCGGTTCCTGGGCTTCCCTAGCCATAGGAAACTGACCATTGTTGGGAACCACACCTGAAAGTTTAAATAACTAGGTTATATACTCAAAATAAGACACGATTTCTGCATGTTTTTCCTGATGTTTTTTATATCTAAAACATAAATCTTCTGCTTATAATGTTTTTGAGCCTAAATATTTACTTTGATTTTAAAAAACATTACCTTAAGATGCATAAAACAAAAATTGTATTTATTATTATTTTTCTTTTTTAAAAATGTAATTAGATCTACATCTTACTACAGAGATCAGAATCATAGTTATCCTCCTGTCTTCAGTTTCCCAAGAGCGGGAATTACAGGCATGTGCCACCACACTCAGTCTCAATCACCTTCTCAGCACACCCCAGGGGTGGGACTAGGATGACACAGTGAAGATTGAATCCAGTTTCTGCGTCTGTCTGAGTGGGTGCTTTAATCTGCTGAGCTATCTGGCTAGCCCTAAATATTATATTTATTATTATAGTATTTGTGTTTTGATACATGTATATGTTGTGTGATGCTTAAATAATATTAAACACAGCTATCATCAGCTTCTTTCAAAAACTACTACTTCCTATCAGGTTCTTAAAATTGGGGAAGAAAACTCTCTCTCATTTTAAAGGGAGGCAATGTAAATTCAATTCTAAAACTTAACTTGACATTGGATTTAAGGACAGAATAAAGCAAACCAGTCAGTTCCCATAATTAGAAAGTAATAAACTCAGCTACTCTTGACATTCCACTACAGGCTGCAGCTTGTAAGATAAGTGCAACTCAGTCATGTACATGCTGTTAGTTTGTTTTAAAGACTTATCTCCTAGAGACAGACCCAGATCATTCTCAGGCAATGATTGGTTCTCCCTGCTCACCTTAGCCCTTACCTCCCTGCTATAGAGATAGTAACCCCAAATTACCTTTCTTAAATTAAGTCTGCCTAGCAACACAAGACACAAAATTCCAATTGTAGAATATGCTGTTATCTGTCTTTTGTAGTTTTTTTTTTCTAACAATCTATTTAAGTTACTGTTTAACCCCAAGATGGAGCTGAGATTTTGAAACTGAGTTTTTCCTCAGCTCACAAGTTTTTTGAAAACAACCTGTTTACTTTCCAAAATTCCTCTTTACTATGTAAGAATAATTTCTTCTTTACTATTTAAGAATACTTTACTTTTCTCTGATATTTTCAGGTTTATCCTCAATATTATGAACACCAAAGAAGATTCAATAAACAATCAGCATCATTATACTTTAGAAAAATTAAAATGAAAGCAACAATCTAATATTACATCACTCCAGTAAAAACTGAGAATTATCAAAAAACAAAACATAAAATATTTGAGAGACCTCGTAGGGGAAAGAGGACCTGTAAAATTTAAGTGTTATTATTTTTATTAAATTTAAATATGGGGCCGGGGAGATGGCTCAGTGGAATAAGCACTTCTCTGGCAAGCTCAAGGGCCTCAGTTCAATCCCTGGTTCCGAAAAAATAAAAATTAAATATGAGCCTTTTATTACCAGACCTGGGACCACTTGACCATACTCACACAGGAGAGGACAAATGACCAGAAGCCTTAGAAGTATAGAGATTTTATTTTATTTTGTTATATAT